CATACATTTCTGCCGTAAATATAAACCACATAAAGACCCAGAACTGTTTTTAAATGGCATTCCCATCAAGGTTGTCAAAGAGGCCAAGTTCTTAGGTCTCATTTTCAACTCCCATATAACTTTTCTTCCGCATATCAAATCTCTAAAAACTAAATGCCTGAAGGCACTCGATTTATTGAAAGTCGTGTCTAATTCAAGGTGGGGAGGGGATCAAGCTACGCTCCTACACCTTTACAGATCATTTGTCCGCTCGAAGCTTGATAATGGCTCCATCGTATATGGTGGAGCCTGTAAAAGCAACCTAAAACCCTTAGATTCAGTACACCATCAAGGTCTGAGACTTTGTCTTTGGTCCTTCAGAACTTCTCCTGTTGACAGTCTTTACGTCGAGGCAGATGAACCTTCTCTTAACTAACGCCGTATAAAAGTATCATTACAATATATTACAAAATTATATTCTCACGAGTCTAATCCTGCATTTCACTGTGTCTTTAATCCTCTTTATGAGGATTTGTATAACAAAAAATCTTCTCTTGTTCCGCCTCTTGGGCTCAGAATTAAGCCATTTATTGCTGCTGCCGGCATTGAGCTGGAAAATATATCTCCTTCCCGTCTTCTTTCTTCTCCTCCTTGGCAATTGGTTAGGCCACAAGTCGACCTAACACTCACTAAATTTAAAAAATCAGAAACTAATGACTTATTATATAAACAAGAATATAATCAATTAAAAAGTAAATATAATACATATAAATCCTTATTTACAGATGGGTCCAAGGATGGTGGCGCGGTTGCTTGTGCCACTGTCATTGGGTCCAAAACAATATCTTCCAGATTACCCAATGACAGTTCAATTTTCACAGCAGAAGCAAACGCAATACTAACAGCTCTTAAATATATTAATAGACACCGTAAATATAAACAATATATCATCTTTTCAGATTCTCTTCCGTGTCTTCAGGCTATTAAAAATCTTTCTTGCAAACATCCACTTTTATTAGAAATTATTGAATTGTACAATGAACTTGCTACTGGCCAATGCGACATCGTCTTTTGTTGGTTACCCAGCCACGTTGGCATTTCTGGGAACACCATGGCTGATATTGCTGCTAAGGCAGCACTCAACAAATCTGTGACACCACTTCTGATCCCATACTCTGATTACAAAGCTGCTATACGATCTTATATCCGTGATCTGATGCAAAAGAAGTGGGACACCCAAGTAGGTATCAATAAATTACATGAAATAAAACCCTATATCGGTTACACTTACTTGGGTTGTCAGTCCAGATTTGAAGAGGTCATCATACGACGATGTCGTATTGGCCACACAAGATATACGCATGAGTACCTATTAAAAGGTGAGGATCCTCCGTTTTGTATCCCTTGTGATGAACGAATCACGGTCAAGCATGTCTTGCTTGACTGTGTTGAGTACTCCATCACAAGGGATATCTATTTCAAATCCCGATCTATGAAGGATCGTTTTACTAATATAAGTCCTCATTTAATTATTGCTTTTTTAAAAGAATTAAATTTGTTAACAGATTTGTAAATAGCTAAATATTTTATGATTGGATGTTTGAATTAGTAACACAGATTGTTAGTGGCTGTATCCTCGAAGGGGGTTAAAGTACTGTAAAATTATTGTCCTCCTGAGAGGGTATGTAAGTCCCAAAACATTCGAAGTAAATTAAAACGTTCCACTTTTTAATCGTAGAATACCTGTTCTTTTAATGTATGGCTAGATTTGCTAAATTGCTAACGGCCGAAGGGATGGTGTAAATCCAGCTAGGGTCCATGCAGGAAGCAAATGTACTGTAAGTCCCCATGGTCCCTAGTATGGTGATCTACCTTCAGTTGTTGGCGATCAATAGCCTGTTTTTTATATTGTATCGTCTTGTATAGTTCAAATGTTTTAGATTTTGTTACTAGTTTTATATCTCTATCTGTGATAATCTAGTTATTTTACTGTCCTCCGTTGGCAGAATTTTATAATTTCACTTAAATTGTTGATATATTTATAACTTGCTTTAGTCACGATATGGCTGAAATATTGCCGATGTGACTTAAAATGTTAACTCACTCACTCACTCACTCACCTGCCCAACGAAATCAAACATAAGAGGAAGTGACCAATTTAAGCCAGTTCTCTGAAACATTTAGCAGACTTCATTCCATTGTTAAAATAACAACATCGTCACTGAGCAGCCTGTAACAACTATCAGCAGTGGGAGGAATTGCTCAGAAAACATCATGTTATCACCTGTCAACTCAAAATATACACCGAGGGTGTTTTATCCTATGGGTTGAAATTTGCAAGGGCTTTTTGTCCTGGGGGCATTTAGCCTAGGTTTTTTTTGTCCGAGGGCTTTTTATCCCAGTGGGCTTATTGTGTGCCCTGATTAGGTTGAACAAATTCAGCCAAGGCGGACAGTAGCCCAGTCTCCGCGTCCGTCACGATCGAGGGAGCAGGGGCTGACCAGTTTGCAGCTAGGTTTCGTAATTAGACTGTTGGCGAGAAACATTAATCGCTCTGGATCAGTGGCCCTTTAATGCTTTTCATAAACTAGAATCTCATAAACTATTTGTCTCTGGAATCATCCGTGATATGAACTTGTGTACTGATTTCTCTAGAAATTATTCAACGTGATGTAAAGTGAATAATGTATTAAACATTTAGTCACCTTTTATTGTAAATGACCAAATTAATTAGTTACACTATAATATAATAAAGAAGGAATTCATTTGGATTGTTTTTGCGGGGTGTTCCGCTTTTGCCAGTCGGGCAAGTTGTTTATTTAGGGATTAAGAGGATGACCAGACCATGATAATTAGCAAGACAATGATGGTGGATGACCGAGGAGATGACCAAGCCAAGAAAGACACAAGTGGACTACCATCTGTATTTTTATGTTCAGCATTCATAAATGACCCAGAAAACGAAAATACAGATAACTTAACGATAGACTACAGAGAGAAAAAGACCATCTTCAAGCAGGAAGGAAGACCATGATAGAATATGGAGCTGCTGTTTCTCATCTTGTTGGACTTTAAAGTCAATTGTGTATGAACCATCATTGTGAACATTGATGATGTATGATTGTGATTAGTACCTTATAAGTTTCTTATATTTACACAGTTACATAATGCTAAACATTGTGTACAGTTATGTGTGTTATGTGTTATGTATGATTGTGATTAGTAATTTATCAATTTATGTATGCGAACATAAAAATACAAATTATAGTCCACTTGTGTCACTTGTGTAAATGGCCTGTGGTCTGTACTCACTGTATCCTTGAGGGCGACAAGGAAATGTTCTCTGTAGCTTGTGATCAAGTCGTCCCTGGTGTTAATCGTTGCTCAACAAGAAGGATAGCAACGTCTCCAATGTGTTGTATCACGCTTGCTAGTCATAATTCGAAACTTATATCCCTGATACACTAAACTTCTAACACCTCGACCATTTGGAACAAACTGAACATTCACCAAAGCATTTGCCATCATTGGATAAAGTGAAGACTTGCTATAACATGGCACGTGGTGATGTAGTGGGAACAAGGAGATGTATGGAAAACAGCCATGTAATAACTGAACCAAAATCATTCCCTCTACTAGTGAAGGTCGTGTGGTATTAGTTAAACAAACAAACCCAGTCGACCATGCCTCATAATCCTCTTACTCTTTAAATAACCAACTTGCCCGACTGGCAAAAGAGGATACCACCGTTTTTGCCTCAGTCCGCCCGTGTGTGGACAACATAAGCAATTATCTATTAACAAGTTCATGATATTTCGTGAATACATCAATTGCATAACACCATCTCTGACCATAAACCCAAACGGCCCATCCCTTGTGACAGGTGTTAATTAGACGGTACCAATTAGAGAATGTATTCTACAACGATATGTCTATTACTCCCTGGCAAGTGTTCACTTTTATGACATGTAATAAACCATGCCCAGTCAGTCAGTGAGTCCGGTAAACTTTTATTTAATCCATGATGTACGTAGGTCTATGTAATTTGTGTTTATACAAACAGTGACAAGGGGAACATCATTTGCACCTCTGTGGATAACAGTAAAACATACACTTAAAACAGTATTTTAGAAAATGCTAGCCATACTAGGGGGCAAATATGACAGTCAATATCAATTTTTGACCTTTAGAACAAGAAGGCTGCAGATGAGTGAAGTTATACTATTCTATAGAATTGGTTCCCAGTTGATCGCATAGGACGGCGAATAGAAAACACTTACTTTAAACATGATCCCAACTTTCAAAATGTATCTCTTCATGCGTCAGATGCAATTACGTTACTATAAAGCACAAATGGATAATATCAAAACACGGCCTATTCCTGCAGTTCTTATGAATAAAGATGTATTATGTATATCAAGAATAAGAACTCGAACAGAACATAACAAAAGATGCGTGAAATAGTCTATACACTCATGGGGATCCTTGGGTTGAGGAGAAATTGAAAGAAGTGGTAGTAAAATCCTTCCTAAATTTCCAAAAATGTCCAAGCCTGGGAAATATGATATTTCCAATGTTGGAAATTTTTGGAAACATGATGTTTCCAATTTTGGAATTTTTTGGAAATATGATATTTCCAAATGGGAAATTTTGGGAAATCACCATTTTTTTTCTGGTGTTAAGACAGAAGAAATATTACGACAAACATACAAAATCTTCAGCAAATAAAGTAGGGAATCAAGTTTGGGTTTACTTCCCCCATAGGAAAGTAGGTGTTTGCCCAAAACTGCAATGTTTTTTGAAAGGACCCTTTCAAATAACAGCAAAACTCAGTGAAGTCAATTATCGTGTCAATTGTGGATTGAGAGGTAAACCTCAAATAATACATGTTGACCGTATGAAGCCAGCTATTTCCCGTGAGGAAACAATTAAGGTTAATACCATACCAGCACCAAATCTCCCCGTGGAAAACAACAACAAAGTTTTTGCGGAGGACTTAATAGAAGACCACTCTCCGGCAGAAGAGGTTTGTGGTTATGGGAAAAGTATCAAATGTACGAGGTGTGAAAGAGTATTCGCCACAATCAGCGGATTTGGTGAATCATGTTTCCATAGCTCATGGGAATAGGGAAACAAGTTGCAACGAGTGCAACTTCAAGGCCGACCGGGTATCTGAACTGAACCTCCACAAGAGAGAAGTCCATAGCAATCTAACTGTTAGGAGGCCCCGGTCAGCCAAGAAGTTCCCGTCGAAGGAATTTGTTTCCTCTTCCGAGAGTGAGGACGAGGGAAAGAAAACCAAAAGCTGCTCCTCCTCGTTTTCATCCTCAACATCTTCCTCATCATCATCAACGTCGTCGTCATCATCAGGAAACTTTGAAAGGCAGAAGAAGGAGAACAAAGAAGAGCGCGAGAAGGGAACAAAGAAGAGTAGAGTGGAAGAAGAGGGGGAGAAGGAAGACAGAGAGGGGGAAGACACAGAGAAGGAGAAGGTGAGCGGAGAGGGGAGAAAAAGGAATACAGAGAGAAAGAGGAGTGGAGAAGGAGAAAGAGCAGAGAGAGAAGGAGAAATCAGATGTAGAGGATAAAGAGGAGAAGAAGGAGAAAGAGGAGAGGGAGAAGGAGAAAAAGAAGAAAGAGGAGCAGGAAAAGCAGAGAGAAAGGATAAAGAAGAGGGAGAGAAGGAGATGAAGGAGAAAGAAAAGAGGGGGAAGGAGAAGGTGGATAGATTAAGACGGGAAAGGGAAAGAGAAGAGAGAGAAAGGAGGGAGAGATAAGAAAGGGAAAGAAGAAGGAAGGGAGACCCTAACAACCTATTTAACTGGCCACCCGGGGTCAGAAGACACAGGCAGGAGCAGAGAAAAGAAGAGATCCCTGGTGGCCATTGCGTCCGCCACATCAGCATCTCTGTTGTGGAATGGTGGACACCAGCAGAAGAGTAGGAGACTACACTCATAATTTGTAAATATGTAGGAACACTCATAATTTGTAAATATGTAGGAACGCTCATAAGTTGTAAATATGTAGGACTGCTCAGAATTTGTAAATATGTAAGAACGCTCAGAATTTGTAACTATGTATGATGTAAAAATGTTCACAATTGTAAATATAATGTAAGAATCTTCTCATTTTTTTAAACACAAATATAAATGACAATAAATGTGAGTTCATAATATATAGATATATATTAATGTTATGGCTAAGTAAATAGGTGGTGCCGGTACAACCTAAGACAGATCCACACCACTTGACGTACAACCAAAGACAGATCGTCCTCTAGGGTTAGATAAATGGGTGGTCACGTGGCTATATATACTATGCGTAGGCGCATTTGTTTTTCTTAAGGGTGTGTGTGTGTGTGTGTGTGTGTGTGTGTGTGTGTGTGTGTGTGTGTGTGTGTGTGTGTGTGTGTGTGTGTGTGTGTGTGTGTGTGCGCAATTGTGTATCATTAGCTTATTCAAAAACGTACTGGTTATTACGTCATTCTGCACGTAACTGTCAAATCGAATGGTCCATCATACTTCCGGTGGAGTACTAGGTTAGATTATGACATTAGAAAGCGATTTCCGGGTATATAGAGAATACGTTTATTACCTTACCGTCATCTTTGTTTACGAATCTCTCGCATGGGCACGTGGTCACTGCAGCGGGTGCATTCGATTGTGACGTCATTGTAATTAAGGATAAAAGGGAGACGCTACTGCAAATCTGCCTGCATTTCTTGGAAGCCTTAAGCATCTAAGCATCTCGCCACCAGAACAAAGCAAAGTTAAGAGGTGAGGATAACAGAACATTCAACAGGACTTAGTATATTTTATACAAGTAATTTGTAAATATTAACCAGACTTATAAGAATTATTAATAATGAATTTGGGGAATTTCTAATTAGGGTTATCAGTCAGCTGGCACTGTACTTGAGGACGTCACGATCGGCATGTACCGATGTAGAGTACTTTTCTAAGTGTCTTTTTAAGTGTATATTTGTAGATATGTTACTGTATTAATAAATTATTATTGTTGTTGAAATGAATTTTGTACGTTTTTCCACAAAGTTTCATGTTGCTGTTTCAAAAGTTTCAGAGATATGGAAAAAGGAGGTTTCGCGGGTTCAGAAACCAATGCCAAGTCTGGCCATTAGTAAGCGTCAGCTAGCTAATTATATATGCAAGGAATGTCGGGTCAGAGATTAAAGGGCGGTCCTCCTAGGAACTGACCAATCAGGAACAAGTACATTGTATTGTCAACATGGCTGACGTTTTCTATGATCTAGACGCGAAGTACAGAAGTCTTATATACAAGCGAATTAAACTGAACACAATAGTTTACATATCACAAGTTTAATTATCTTAACACGTATTCCCTACATTTATCACTTATCAGCAATATATGTTCTTGGAGTAACAAGCGAACTCGGTAATGTAATGCAAATTAGGGGGCGGAATTTAGACAAGTTTGTAAACAAACTCGCGCTACCAGATTATCAATTAGGATATCAAATTCTACACTTATACGTTCGCATGCACAAGACTACATATTTTAGTGACTCTGAGCATCAAATAGTATACCCTCCCCTGTTTGGCGTTACAGTATCAAGGAGAGTCTATCAAACCTCGCCCCATCATTGCAAAATTTCTTATCACAAAATAGAGAGATAGTGTTAAGAAATGTGGGAAAATGTTGAAAGGAAAACCATTCCATATTGTAGAACAATTCCCGGAGGAGATCAGTGACAATAGAAAGAATGTTCTGGGGCCTTTGTTGAGAGAGGCTAGGAAAAGCGGGAAGAAGGCAGTGATTGTAGTAGATAAGCTGTATGTTGAGAATACCCTCCAGTCCCCAGTCCCTCCCCCTACAGAGTGCCCCAGAGACCCCGCCACCCATGTATGGAGACGTCGGTGGGCAGGATCTTGAGTCAGCCAGTACTACATGGCCTGCATCTCCCTCTGTATGTTCTCCACCAGAACAATATGACACTTACTCATGTGAACTCCAAACCTCAAAAAGTGACTTACAAAGACCCCAGTTTTCATTAAAAACAGAATTACAAGATACTAAGACCTCATATAATCAATACCTAGTCAGTATTGCCACATATGCCAAAGCCAATACATCAATGATTCTCATTTGCAATGGCCCTCATGTCTACCCTGAACATAGTGATGTCAATATTGCAGGCCAAAATAATGTGGTTTGTCTTGATGCTGTTGACATTTGACAAAATGGAACATATCAACATAAGTGTAAATAATGATGTTTCTGAAATTGATGACAAAATGAATCATATTAACATAAGTGTAAACAATGATGTTTCTGAAATTGATGACAAAATGGAACATATCAACAGAAATGTAAATAATGATGTTTCTGGAATCGAGGATGTTGATACAAATGCTGTAGACGCTCATATTGACATAGCTGATGAAGATGATAATATTGTAGATGTTGATAAATATGTTGTAGGTAATGTTGTTGTTGACATTTATTATACTAACGATGATGATTATGGTGGTGGTGGTCGTGGTGGTGGTGATGATGATGATGATGATGATGATGATGATGATGACTGTATTTTAAACTATTCCGCTCTTAATTTTTAAGTGTTAATGTATGTGGACTAAGAAAAAGATTAGAGTATTCGGAATTTGTCAACCTCATAGAAAATAAACATATCAATGGACTGCAAGAAACTAAAACAAATGAATTAGATGACATACAACTTGATGGGTACACACTATTGCTAAGGAATAGAGTAAAAGCTAACAGAAAATCAGAAGAAGTTGGAATAGCTGTTAAGAATGAGTATTAAGATTTCATTACATTAGTAGAGAAGGATAATGATTATGTAATGTGGATAAATATGTCAAAAACTTTATTTGATATTGAGCAATATCACTATTTAGGAATAGTGTATATCCCCCCTGATGGATCCAGATATGTTACAAATGACACTTTTCTTGACCTAGAACATTCAATTATGCATAAGCTTTCGAAAAGTGAATATGTTACTCTAATGGGTGACTTCAACTCCAGAACAAATACCATATGCGATTATTCTGTATACGATGACTTTCTTACTAAAAGCGGCATAAAACCAAACGGGCACCGTGAAGAGCCACCTCCTCGTGGTGAGGTGGGTAACGCCAAGAGCTCTTCGATCCCCGTTGTGGACCCGGGGGGATATTTGGTCCACCAACCCGTTTGCCGTGGGTTGCGCCCTGTGTCGGTTGAGGACGGGAGGCTGGTGGTTGAGGGCACTGGTTCCAGGAACAGTGTTCCTTTGCCCAACACACCACTTTGCCCCTTACTTCACCTAGACGGGTGGTAGAACTGGCCCGGTTCTATCAATCGGCTGGTCACGCCAAGCCCTGTGCATTGATTATATGTAATTGCACAAAATTTGATTTGGAATTGTTGAAATTTTGGTCTTGGCACCCTTTGTTTATTGACACTAATTGATTTTGTATTATGTTTATCATGAACTTTGCCTAGAGTCTTAATGCCCAGAAGGCGGTGGCTCATGGGCCAATCTGGTGGGATTTATCTTTTCAAGATATTTTCTGCTTGAGTATACCCTCCTAGTATCCTTGGTGCCGTCTGCTGGATATCCACAGACATGAGGCATCGTCCTTGTTGACACTCCATGGTGGGTGGGGAGCTAGGAGGGTGAATCATATATATTTCTACCATGGCACCCCCACTAAAAAAACGTTCCCACGAGTCTGATGATTCGTTCTCGTCGGAGGATGAGGCTCCTGTAGCTTTCACCAACACTGAAAATTGGCCACGTTTCGTTGTCATGTCAGCACCTGATGGTGGTCCTCTAAGGTTAAATCCATTTGCCGTAGCAAAGGGTATAGAAGGTCTAGCTGGCGAGGTAAAGGAAATCAAAAAGCTGCGATCTGGTTCTCTGTTAATTGAGTGCAAGAAACAGATCCAATCGCAGATCCTACTCTCAACCAAATCTTTGGCAAATGTCCCTGTTGAGGTTTCTCCTCATAGATCACTTAATACTAGTAAAGGCATCGTCCGTGACATTGGACGATGCCTTTCTGATATGACAGATGATGACATCGTGACAGAATTATGCTCACAAGGAGTTACCAGTGTAAAACGTTTCACTGTAAAAAAGAATGATTAAGCCACAAAAACTAACACTTATCTGTTTACTTTCTGCCTTTCCATACATCCAACATCTTTGAAGGCTGGGTATTACAACTTGAGGGTGGATACTTTTATCCCTAATCCCTTGAGATGCTATACCTGCCAAAAATATGGTCACGGTTCCAAATCGTGCCGTAATCAAGCAGCTTGTCATCGATGTGCAGGATCATGTGAGAATTCAAACGTTTGTGACAAACCTCCCGTATGTGTTAATTGTTCTGGTTGTCATCCCTCCTCTTCCAAGGAATGCCCTACTTGGAAACTTCAGTCTAAGATGTCACGCGTGAAGCACGAAAGCAACATTTCGTTTGTAGAAGCAAAGAAGATTGTAATTGCACAGGAACCATCGGGCCCTACTTACTCTGCTACTGTCTCTTCATCTCTTCCGGTCACCAAACCTAAACGTGTTTCTTGCAACTAAGTAGGATGTCAGACCGACTACACATGGGCGATGACATCCGATATCTTCTGAGAAGGATTCATCTAAATCTCAGAAACAATCATCTCAACCAGAAACACGTATCAAACCA